AGAGGAAGCACAACAACAACCGTAATTAATTCAATTTAGTTAGAAAAAAAAAATGAACACCCTAGTTCGTATTGTTCCTTGCTATCCCACGTGCCATATATTTGTGATTACAGTCCCTTCACCTTGTTTACTAATAAGACCATATTTTCAATGGTCAAGATGGTGCTAAAAGTTGTAACAGTTGCAGAACATGAGCATAGATTAGAGCCTGATATGGATGATAGGACAGAGTTTCAACTGCCAACAAATTCCACTCCACAGACGGGAGTTTTAACATATGTAACAACCAATACCAGTAATATGACAACATACAGATGATGGAAAGTACAAACATGAATGTATTTAAGTTCTTACCAGAGTATACGAAATCTATTTCAAAAAGATGATCGAGATTAATGTTTCCAATAACTATTGGGAATAGGGAGCCAATATCAGGCATTAGTTCTGTACTGGAATGGTTGCAAACATGAATACAAGCTATACCAAAACAGCTAATCTCCTTGAACAGCAGCCTATCTACATTGGACTTGGAACTTGTCAAACTGCATTAGTTTTGCAAGCTAGTCAACTTGCTCTCATATTTACTAAGATTCATACAGCAGCCTGCAAAATTGACCCCTCAGTTTCTTCTTCAAAGCAAAACTTTGTAATCATTTCACTAACACCAATAAGTATTATGCAAAACATCAACTTTCAAGTCAAAACTACAGCTCTCAGACCAGATCCAGCATATAAAAGCATAGAAAACCCAATTGAACAACAAAATAAACAATAAAAGAGCACACAATAAGGATCAACTTAACGGATGCTAAACAATCCACATGCAAGGACTCCCAAGTCCCAATTACACAGAAGAAACAAAAAAGCGAGAAATAAACCAATTGGCACAAAAGACATACTGTTGCAGGCCACGCCGGAAATCCCTTGACTTTGGCAAGCACAAGATCCCCGACCTTCCACTTCCGCCTTGCAGCGGCGGCCGCCGCCGCCCTGTTGGCACCTTTTCTTCGGCTCGGCGCCATAAAGCCACTACACCAGACAAAAAATCCCAGGCATTGAAAGATCAAATCAAATTTGAGTACAGAAAACCCTAATGTCCTACTGCAAAATTAAGCGTGTATCCCGCTACAAAATCAATTGCGCCAAATACGAGCGATTATCTAGAGTACGAATGAAGTTGGGTGCGTCTAAACCCTAACCCTAATCGGGTCAGTGAAGAATTTGGGGTGGAAGAGAGGCTGTGCGTGAATTTGTGATAATGGGGAAGAGAATACCGATATGAAAACGGGTTGGTGTGATTTTAGTAAAGGGAGCGGTGCTAACGTACGCCTGTGGGTGTGTGATAAAAAGCGCGGTGGTTCGTGGACTCGGGGCACGTTACTTTCTACTTTTCGATGTTTCAGTTTAAGGCCCAAATAAGTAGGCCACTGTTTCAGATTTGGGCCAACCCAAGCAGTTTGAGGCAAGATCCTTAAGGCGTGTTTGTAAATAAATATATCCGCTCAAAATGAATTTTATTAGTTTTTTTTAATGAATTTTATTGGTTAACTATGATTAATTTTTTAAAAAAAATATGGTATGATTAATTGTTAGTGATATTTTAAGTTTATATTAAAATAATATTTAAAATAAAATAATTAAAGTTGATTTAATGTAAAAGTATGAGAAAAATAATGTGAAGTGATAGTTAGTTAAAATTATATGATTGGATGAATAATGAATTAAAGTTGATATGATGTGTAAGAATGATTAGTTGATATTATTTAATTATATTGGTAATATTGATGAGAGTAAATTTCAAATAAAGTTGAGTTAGATTTTGAGCATAGATTGAGTATGGATTGATCTTTTTTTATATACAAACACACCCTTAGGGCGTGATCGGATATTAATATTTTCAATCAATACTCGATTCAACTCATAATTTAACTTCAACTCCACTATACTCAATACTAGTCGTGACCCGTGCTATGCAAGAGATGATATATTTTTCTATAATTTTTTTAATATTGAATTAAATTTAATAGACTTGGTATATATGTAACAAATGTACACGAGTCAGACAAACATTAAAATTTAAAATTATAAATTATTGACACTTCCTTGTAGACAACGTTTTTTGTTTGACTTGGTAGCGAGTGGACGTCACCACAGAATAATAAATAAAATAATTTTAGCACATGAATTAGACAATAATAAATAAAAATATGACCAAAAAAAATTATTTACCTCTTTATCATGGAAATTTATTTTCAACATTTTTTTGTACTTGACTTCAAATTTTCTTTCAAATATACGAACAACACTTAATTTCAAGTAGGGCATATTTGTTTGGGAGACCGACTTAAAAAAACCCTACACGAGCGGCATATTGATATGGTGGAAAAAATAAAATCAGACAGATTGGTTCTAGTTAAAATAAATAAATAAATAAATAAATAAATAAAAATTGTTCACTATTTGTCATGTTTCCATTCGGTCCGACTTATTTTGAGATAAGATAATAATGAATCTTTTAAATGAGATATATTTTACTATTCTTTTGGATTTTTACAAACGTAAAATGAGAAATATTTGAATCCTTTAAGAACCGTTTAAAACGGATTTACTTAAAATTATGTAACAAAGTTACGAAAGAGTTTTTGTAGATATAATTGAATCCGATATTGCAATCTGAATATAAGATAATTTTTAAAAATGATAAAATTTTTGTTATAAGCGAATGTTCCCTAAAAATTTGGTAACAATGTATTAACATTTTTATTATCCGTTTCAGTAAAATCGGGTGGCATGTGAAATTGAAATTCTTGAAGCTGTGGTTTATTTATTTAGACGCGTTTCCATGAAATAAAATAGGTAAAATTAAATTTGATTGATGCAGATTTATATTTATCATTCATTCATCTGATTATTTAATTAAATAAGTTTGTTATTTATTTGTATGTAAATTTAAATGGTGGGTTTATAATTGGTCGAATAATGTGTAAATCAAAATTTAGGATTACACTTGTGATAATTTGTGTCATTCTATGCATGTCAATTACAAAGAACGAAATTTTTATAAAGTAATATTTCGATGTTTGTTTGATTATGGTAGCCCAATGTATTTGTGAAAAAAAACACATTAAGTTTTATTTAATTGATTATAAATAATATTTTGATTATAATTATAAAGACAAATAAAGTTTCACGGCCAAATATTTTTTTGTAAAGAAAATCTCTCCACAAATTATCCAAATAAATTTCAGATAAGCATGGAATGCCAGATTTATTTACAAACTACGTTCTCGACCAACCAACCAAAACTCTGATGTATAAACGGTTTAAAATATTATTAGAATCCTTTACAGGTGAAATTGGATTTAAAGCGAAATTTGCGTAGAAAATCTTTACTATAAATAATTTAAAATTTGCAACACATATATATTAAACACGTGAAGGTAAAAAAATCATTCAAAATTTGAATTTAAATCGGATTTCAAAAATTCATTGAGTTTATTTGAAAAATTATCCAATAAAACTTATGAGATAAACTCGAGTTTTTTAAAAAATCTTGTGTACCAAACAAAGTTTGTTTGAATATAATAATCTTATAAGCTAATCAAATAAGCTGTATGCTATGTTTGGTCAACCTGGCTGATGAGTTAGCTTGTAGCTTTTAAATGAATTTTGAGCTTGTAGTTGATAACTTATGAATTATGGCTGAAAAACTAGCTTATATGATAAAAGTGTTTGGTGAAATTACCTGATAAACTAGCTGAAATACAAATTTCAATGAACTTATTTGAAAAGTTACCCAAGGAGGTTTATAAGATAATCTCAAACTCTTTAAAAAAGTCTGTCCTACCAAACCAAGCCTATTATAAGGTATATTTGTAAATCTAATATTAAATTATAAATTAGATATTGAACATATCACATTTTTAAAATTTATTCATTACTAAAAATAAAACAGTATAGATATAAATTATTAAGTATATATGAGTTACTATATTGATTGAAAAAAGTTTGAGGATAATGTAATTTTTAATTTTGAGGGACCTTATCCAATTAATTTAGTTGAAAAAACTTATTATCACCCCTATATATAATTACCTAATGCGTTGAGCCTAGGTGGCATGTTCTTACGTTTTGGAATACTATGTGGCAAAAAATCATACTTCGAAGTCAGGTTTGGATATAAATTAATATTTTTTTATACAAAAATAATTAGTGTTGAATTTCATTTAATGTTTATTATTCATATTAAATCCATGATTGATCTTTTCCTTATTTTCTTCTACAATTAGTTACCATAAACTATTTTACGTTTTATTTTTCTACATTACCATATATTACATTTTCTTTTCTTATTTAATTGATACATCAATTATTATAAATATTCTTCTTATTTTTAAAATTTTATAACTTTTTTGTTTGTATTTTATTATTCATATATAATATATCAAATTAATTATCTTTTAACGATCTTCGATTTGACATCCGCCCTTATATATAATTTTAGAACGTGTTGAGTCTAAGTGGCAGCTTCACATGCTCCGTAAACTTATGTGACAAAATATTATGCTTTGTAATATGACTCGAATAAAAATTACTAATTTTTTATATCAAATAACTTAGGTTCGGATTGCCATATAATTAATATATTTAAATTATTCCATATAAATCTATTTGTTATCTTCTTTCTATAATGTGCATAAAATTTTATTTTCCAAATTTTGTGATTTGTCCATATTATTCCCTTATGAGTTTTGAATAAAAATATTATAAATCAAATTAATGATGTGTATAAATTAGTATTTAAATTTAAAATAATATTATTAATTCACTTAGTTTTTATTATAAATTGTTATATATTGTTCCTTATTTATTTTTTCCAACTTCAACAAAATATGTAATTTTTTTTTTCATTTTTTGTTGTACATTTAATTATTTCATCAACCACCCGTGTAATACACGGGTATTGTACTAGTTGTTATTATTATTATTATTATTATTATTATTATTATTATTATTATTATTATAGAAATAGTTATTTATAAAATTTTAAGATAGTTTGACTATGCTATTAAATTATTACCTATTTTTTTCTAAAAAAAATAGTTTCTTAAGATACAAAATAATTATTAAAAAAATAATATTGATTTTAGCTTAAAGAGATTGAACAAAAACATTTGCAATGTATCTTTTTTATACTCATGTAATTTCTATATAACATTTAATGTAAATTATTATTAATTGGTATCAATATTAAATATTATATAATATAATAATAAAAAATATATAATTACACTTAATTAAAAGAATTGTAACAGTTTTCTACCCTAAGTAGCTAAAAAATGGGCGGAAAACGTTATTAAATGAAGTTGAAAAAAATAAAGGGAAAAATCAAATTAATGATGAAAAAATTATAGGCAAGAAACTAAATTTTTTATTAGTTTTTATGTAGCAATCATATATGAAAAGATGTTTAATTGCCAAAAGTTAATAAAATATTGTTATCAAAATTATATAGTCAAAAGTCTAACTTATTATGGATCACTAGTATTTGATCCTGTGCATTTGCACAGATATAAAATACGTTTTTGTTTGTATTTATTAATTAGACATGTACTTATATCATATAAAAATTATTAGTTTTTCTTAAGTTATTTTTATCATTCAAAATTAATTGAGATTTAAATTTTATTTTAACCATGCAACGTTTACATTAGTAACATGAATAAAATAATTTATATTTTTTTGGCATATATTCAGAAAATTAACATAAATAAAAAAAAATATTGGTGTTTCTGATTTTTAGAAGAAAAAAAATGTGGTAATCATATTTTTCTTCCAACAATGCAACCAAATATAGCGGTTACAACTCTGAATGTGTCAATCAACTTTAAGTTCCAACATTAGCTGTTACACATATGAATATTTTTCTACCAAATTTAGAATTAATTTAGTAACTGATCAAAAAACTAAAGAATAAAAATATATATATTAAGGTGTAACGATTTTAGCAAATTAGTGAGTAATTAATTAAAAAAATATAACTCTTTTGGAAGGAAACGAAAATAGATTTTATTAAATGATTTATTAAATGCACTAGCTAGTAATCATATATATATATATATATAAAAGTGCGCTCAAATGAGAATGAAGCACGATGAAAGAAATAAGAATGATCTTAGATCATTGGATCTATCACATCAATGGTCATGAGTAGTCAAACTTTGATAAATAATAGTCAATCATTAATGGCAATATAGTAAATAAATAATAATATTATAGTCAAATATATGTATTTGACCATTTATTAAA